AATTGACTGAAAAAATTTGAAGAAAGAAAGAATTAACATTGAAGAACAGTAAAACATTATACAATGATTTTTTAAACATATTTTCCTTATTTTTATTGTTGTTGTTTCAATCCCAATGTTTTAGATTGTGTACTCTCTGACCTTTGTCAGGTAATTTTAGCATTTGTTAAATATCTCAGAATTTTTAAGAGAAGCGATATTGAATTTAAGGCTCCACAAATCCAATATCCACATCTTGTTCCTTAAAATTTATGAGTTCAATCCATGGTTGACGTAATGTAGAAATATACATTAGTTTATTGGAGAAGTAGATTGATGTCCTAAGAAAAAAAATTAAGTTATGCATCCTGAAATTCTCTCAAAAGTACACTGGACATGACAAGTCATAGAAATAAGAGCGACCTATTTACTGGCTATGTTGGGTAAATTGTCGCCGTTTTATATTTTTCATTTTGTGCATACACATTGTTAGTTTTTGTTTTTATTAACTGCAGAGTATACTAGGGTCAGTTGGGCACCATCTGTGAGAAAAAGAGCAGGGTGTTTGGGTGTCAATCTGAGGACATTGTATTGAATTCAGAAAGAGTTGGATTAGTCTAATGATGATTATGAAAATGTTTGGAGTGATCACTAGTGATGTCAACTTTACGTCTCCATTCATCTTCTCACAGGGCTTCAAACTCAACACAGAGGCTTACATGAAGTACCTTGAGGAGGTAGTGCTACCCTGACTCAAGAGGGGGTCTGCTGGAAGACCCTATATCTGGCAACAGGACTCTGCACCATGCCATACAAACAGGAGAATTGTCAGCCAATTTCTACAACCACATCACCCCTTACATCTGGCCACCTAACTCCCCAGATTGCAACCCCGCCTTGATTATTATGTGTAGTGCCCATTTAAACTCGTTGTAATGCCAAAAATGAACTAAAGGCAAGAATTATGGTAGCATTCACCAACTTAAACAAGGAGACAGTCCAAATGAGTTGCAGGAGTTTCCAAAGTCATCTGAAGGCTGTGGTTGAAGCCAATGTTTATTACAATTTATCCATTGCACCCTGTATTTGTATCATCTAAAATGATTTCAAATTCTTGATTAGCACCCAGGGAAGGCGAGAAAATATAGTAACTAAAATTTTGTGATAAACACAGCAAAGGGGAAGAACCAATATTAATTTTTAATTCATATTTATTTTGATTTAATTTTAAACTCAAGATATTACTAATAATACTATCTGGATCAAGAAGCACCTGATGAAAGCTGGAGAACACAATAGCTGAAAAATAACAGCAACAAAGATGAAGATAATAATCTGCATAATGTAAATAATGATAAAATCTCATTCTAGAATTTCAGACTCCGTCTGACTAAGCATACTTTTTGCTCCTGTTTCCCTGAAAAGAACCCTATTTTGTTGCTGTTGCTTCAGATTTCTTCTTCATCTATGAAGAAATTCAGTATATTTCCGAGATGAGGTATTATGTACACTACTTACATTATTCGGGCTATTGTCCTCATCTTTGTCGCCATATTTATTACAATGTTTCAGATGTTGTACGCCCTGGTTAGAATGTTAAACTGAACCCTTTATTTCAATCACTGGGGTAGACTGTTCTAGTTTCACGTCAGATGTCATTTATCAGCCCTATTTTGTTGCTGTTGCTTCAGATTTCTTCTTCATCTATGAAGTTCTCCACTGCCTTAACCAGGTATTTAACTCACACTCTTTGGATCCTGCCACTGAATCGAATCAACGCCTTTATCCACTGTGCCATGTGTCCTTGAGGAGATCTGTGTATGAATTTCTGGGTATTATAAACCTAATGTCTTCAGCAACCACGATGTAAATAGTGTGTATGAGGAAATTGTTGAGGATTTACTGCCATATTAGCGAAGTCATGAACCATTTTTAAAAGGGAAGATATTTCCAGACCTCATTGTGACATTTATGTTGTTAACCGCATGCAAATTATCAAAGAACGATTGGTTAGTAGTGGTAACTGAAGATTTGCAGACAATTCTAACTGAATTCTGCTGGCAAAAGAAAAGTGAAATTAAGACGTGGAAGGATAATTATGTGTACGAAAAAGTAGAAGATCAAAGCAAAAATGTTATGCCTGTGAGACAGATAATTATTGAGAAGAAATGGCAATCTTGTTACTAAATCTAGATTGGTAGCTCATGGATTTCAAGAAGATGTGGCCAATCTGTGGAAAGATCCACTGATATGTTCAAAGGAAATACTTTATATGGCATCTAATCAGTGGATGTGTCACACAGTGGATGTTAAGATTGCCTATTTACAGGAGGATATGATTGAATGCGAGATCTGCCTCTGATCCACACCTGAATTTTTTAATGGAAACTAAATTGCACCTAATTTATGTGATGGAGCTGAAGCATGGTACATAAGAGTCAGAAACAAATGAATGTTCCTTTCAATGAAAATGTCTTCCTTGTTTCCATTCCACAATAATGGCAACTCATATTTATGCTGATTATTTTCTTTGATTTGGTATCAGTTTGAAAAGTGTCTTAGGACAAAGCATTTCTTGATTGGAAGTTCTGCATCAACAACATCTTATGAATTTTATCTGAATTTCTGTCATGAAGAGTTATTATTTGCACTATTTACATTAAGATTAATATCCTCATCTTTGTTATTATTATCACAATCAAGTGTGCTCTCTGTCCTTCTGGTGTCTGTGGATCCTGATAACCTTCAAAGAATTTCAAACTGAACCCTTTATTCCCTCTACAGAGTTTGAATTTTTCTTGTCCCAATGACCATATCTAGGGAGGTATTGTTTTGTCCTTTTTTAGTACTGATCATCCTGTTTCTAATGTTTCAGTACTACCCGGGCCTGGGATTGAACTCAAAATTAATATGCCACCAAATTCATGAATCAACACTTTAAAGACAAGATATCCCCAAACATGGACAACAACTAGAACAATATACCCTATAGATTAAATGAAGGGTTCAGTTCAAAATCCCCTGAAGGTTACCTGAACCAACCTGAAGTAGACCAGACAGCAAAGATGAGATATATGTTGTGATAATAACAACAAAGATGAGGATATTAGTCTGAATGTAAATAAAGATAATCTCTACATGTGATGGTCTTAAAAATAATCTCTACATATGATGGTCTTAAAGATAATCTCTTTACATGATGGTTTAAGGATAATCCCTACATGTGATGGTCTTAAAGATAATCTCTACACATGATGATCTTAAAGATAATCTCTGCACGTAATGGTTTAAAGATAATCTCTACAGGTGATGGTTTAACAGTGGGCCAACTTCATTAGGCATCATTTTAATCACCTGTTCCCATGAGTTGTCAATGCACTGAAAAAGAAAAGGTCCTTAATGAGTCATCTAAACAGCTTCACTACAAATACCATAACTGATATCAGTCTTGGACAGATGTAATCTTAATCTTTCCTTAAACAGAACTGCTGTGAATGAACTTTAAAATAAAACAAAGTAATCAACAGTGTCACCAATGATAACTTGAATTTGTTGTTTTTACTAAAAACATAAAACAAAAAATCTAATTTCTTTAAGTGCTTCTCTGATGCAGCCTTTGGTAACCTTTTTGAATGGAAGATATCTCTCTTATAATGCTTTTTGAGGAACTTAGCAAATTGTTGTTCTATTTATTGGCAAGGAAGAAAATTAAGAAGAGTAATTAGTTCTTTGAGGAGACTATGGAAATACTTGGAATAGCATGGGTAAGAGGGTGCTAGTTGGACAGTTCTGAACTGGTGGGACAATAGAGTGGAGCTCATCAGAACATTTGCCATGGAAATAGTGATAGAGCATTGATGGGATTACAATGTTGCTTCTTTGGGAAAGAGACTGCAGAATGGAGAATAAGTCTTCTTCCAAAAGACTATTTAAATATCTTTGCAGTAAAGGTCTGAACTGATGGAACTAAAGAGTAGAGCTCATAAGAACATTTCCTATGGATGTTGCTTCTCTGGGAAAGAGGCTGCAGACTGGAGAATAAGTCTTCCCCACAAAAGATAGTGTAAATGTCCTAGCTGTAAATCTCTGAACTGGTGGAACTAAAGAAAATTTGGAATGGTGATAGGATTGAAATGTTGCATCTGTGGGGAAAGAGGGTTTTTAGAGTAAGTCATCCCAACATGACCACAGAAACGATTTTGAACTCTACCAAAGCTGGAAAATGAGGATGGACCAGACATGGCAGCAATACTCCATTTCCTTTCTGACTGATCTGACATTTGTAAAGATAAAGCATATCTGAACGGGTCAGGTATTTTTTTTTTTTTTTTGCAGTGGTACAAGGAGTCAACCATTTTTCCATGGATTAAACAGGCTCTGCTTTATGAGCAGCATTTATTTATCAACATTTTTAAGACAAGGAAATTTTATTCTATACCTCTGTATAGAAGTCTTGCCACTTTGCGGAGATCATCAGAAATGCTTTCATTCATACCAACTGGATGGTGAACTTGGACTTTGCAAACCTATTCACAAAGGTTCTTACATTGCCATTATAATAATGAAAGTTTCAAATTGATAGAAAAAATACAATAAGAATTGTTAAAACTGTATTATCGAATGTTACAAATAAGAAAAGGCTTCTCCAAAAACAGTTAACTTCCTTCAAGAATTTCCTCTTTAATGCCATGTTGTATGTGGTTCTGATTTTTCCTTTTTGATCATTGCTTCACCGCAGAGGAGACTGACAGATATCTGCTTAAATTCAATATAAATTAAAAACTTGTAAAATCATTAATTTATTTCCAGTTATTTTAAAATTTAAATTTTTAACTGTTCTCTCCACTTCTGGACACAAACTCCAATGCTGGACGTTCAAGCATCAGATGAAGGGTGTGATTAAAGACCAATTGTTTGAACGCAAATTAACTTTGAACTATTAACATTATTATTATCAGTCTTGTATGTATCTGAATTGTTTTACTTCAGTCATCATTATCGGTGAATTTCTTTCTTTTCAGCTACAAATGGTACATTCCTATGACCTATGTTTCCTCAACGGAGCCAACCAATCCACACACAGTTTGGTTGAATATGAGCTCAGGTTGGTAGATAAAATAATTACAGTATTTTTAATATTATTCTTCAAATTTAATATTCTTTACAATATAAATGTTTTTTGTGACTTTATATTTATATAATTTGAAAGAGTTTGTTTACTATACATATATGAATTGTATCCTGTAGAATACACAAATTTATTGATAATATCGTTATCATATTTATATAACTTGTAGAATCCTTAAATTCAGTAGGCATACTCATGAAGCTCTTTGTAGGCAAGCTTTAAAAGCACACCACATCAGAGAGTGGCTGTTCCTGCAAAGGGATGCATGTTTGATTCCAACATTTTCTTTATTAAGTTGTCTCTAGTAGGCAGGTAGATTAAATCCTGTTTAAAATAAACAGAGGATCTGCTCAAATATGGATAGCCACTGAAAATAATATTTCAACTCATAAATATGTTTGATTAAAAAATAAATCCATTAACTCTTTAGAAATTGCTTTGTTTACATTTTGGATATGGAACTCAGCAGATATGGGCTTTCAATAATCTGAACAAGGATTTGTGCATTCATTAGAAGGGAAAATAGTCTTGCTGAAGTAATAAAAAATATTGGATTAAAAATAAATTCATTAATTCTTCAGAAATTGATTTGTTTATGTTTTTGTTATGAAACTCAGCAGATATGAGGGAGTATGATTTAAAGGCAAAATAGAACCTTCCTTCATTGTGAAGCTCTTTGTAGCTGAGCAGTAAATGCATGTCAGATCAGATGGTGGTTCCTCCTGCAAATGGAAACATGTTTTCTTTATTAAGTTTTCTCAAGTAGAAAATAAATGAAATAAACATTGCTTAGAATAAATACTGGAGCCTCTAATCAAATATGGGTATTCAATGAAAATAAGTATTTTTTTATTACTTCAAACATAATTAAATGCAAGAAAAGTTTTCAGTGTAAAAAAAAACTGTTCCTCATGGAGAAAGTGGAGTTTAATATATTTTCTGGTATTTTGTCTTTAACAGTAATAATTACCATTTGTGAATGTTCTGTGTAAGACTATAGTTTTTATTATTGATATTAGAACATAAGAAATGTGTGGGCTTTGAAAATGCAATATTATAGAAGAATTTTTCCTCCACTCAAAATAGCTTTTGTACTTTTCATTGTATTTCTTGATTAAAAACTTAGCAGAAACAAATGAATTCTTATTTAGTTTTTTCTTTAAGATACTAATTAATCACAACTAGTGACAGTGATGCACATGAATAAAGAATAATATATTTTTTAATTCATAACAAAGGTTGTCAAATATATTTCTTATTTATATTATTTACATAATTTGGTCTTTATCTTTATTGCCATATTCACAACATTTTGGTCACTATACACCCAACCTTCTTCAGATGATATACGTTGGAATTTTGAACTGAAACTACAAATGGCCCAGTGGATAAGTGTTGGTTGAGTAGTCCAAAAATGACTTGACCCAAAGAATTGTGAGTTCAATTCCTGGCCATTGCAGAGGGAACAAAAACTTGGAGTGTTGAGTTACTAAATTAACTAAAACTGAGATATCCAAAAAAAGGTATGGCACAAGGAAATAGAACAATTTACCCCTGTAGACTAAATAAAGGGCTTGGTTTGAAATTCTAACACATATCATCTGAAGATGGTCGAAACGTCATGAATATGGCAATAAAGGTGAGCACAACAGCCCAAATAAAGTAAATAGTGTAAATAGTTACAATACCTCATCTCAGACATAGACAGATACATTTCTTAGTTATACATTTCATTTGTTTCAATTTGGGCTAAGAAGGTTTATAGAGGGAATTTAATTAAGTAGGTTTACTTCAACATCAGGACGAAGGAATTGTTTTTAGTACGATTCTAAGGAGTCTTGAAAACTTACACAAGATAGATAGGCACTTCATCTCAGCCAATAATTTGTGAAAAGATTTAAAATTTAGTCACTTCTCTGTAGCAATATTACTGTTAGATTGTTGGATTCACTTTCGGTAATTTTTTGTAATGATTCATCAGTTTGTCTTCACCGATCTTGATGTGCATCTGGCATAATGGATAGTGGCTTGGAATGAGAAATCAGAGAGCCGGGTTTGAATTCCAGTTTGTTACATTCACATACACATAAATACTCTTAGGAAAGCTATGAATCCATCTCTGTTCCCCCAGTTATGGGTTAAATAGTAGGACTTCTATAAGGAAAAATCATTGTTATTTCAAAAAAATAGTTATATTTATATTGAAAGATTTGCACAGAATAAAGAATTATTCTTGCAATTACAAATACAAGGACTGATCAAAAAGTATCATGACTGGGGCTATGAAAAATAAAACTACAACACATATCAATTCAGCATTTAATATCCTTTGAAATAATCCCCTTCTGAAGCTACCTAATTATCCAGCATCATTTTCATTGATGGAAGACTTCCTGGAACTTATTTTTGGGACAGCATCATTGTATTCTCTGGGGTTGCTACAACATCTTGTTTCTTTCAGGTGGAATTTGATTTTTAATGAAGAAAAAGTCACAAGGGGAAAGATCTGGGGAATATTGTGCTTGGTGAAAAACTGCCGCACAAGCTATGGTCACTGATGAAACCCATGTGATGTGCTGAGACAACCACACTCTGCACACTTTCCTTCCAAGCACTTCTATCGAGTGATAACATTATAACTTGCAAAGTGCAAAGTCTATCTGTATTAAGTGGCTTCTCTCTATCTCTTTTAACTTCATTATCATAGCAACACTAATGATACTTGTTCATCTGACCATGTGTGTTTGGCTTTAAATAACCCACAAAGGTTTGAATAAATTCATAAAAACAAATCAGTCAATCAAAAACCTCACTGATCCAGGATTCACTTGTCTGGCAACTTTAATGTTTTTATATGGTGTTTTCAATCTGGTGGTTATTTAAGTGATTGATAAAAAAAATATTTGGCAGGAAATAAAAACCTGAGGGAAAACAAAGAAACTGGTATAATAATTAATTTTATCATCTAAATCTTTATCTCATTAGATAAAGACTGGATAAAATTCAATATGGCTGCTTGGTTAATGAATGCAGGATGTTTCCGTGTAAGGAAACAGTAGTTACTATTACCATAAGCATTTTTTTTTAACCTATGCTTCATTGGTTTGTAAAATCTGTTACCCCAGAGCTTGCAAGTTTTGTAAGTTTCAACTGCTTTCGTCCAGAAGTATATTTCTGTTTTTCTCAGCTGTTGACCTTTTCTCTTCAATATGGCAACTACATCACATATATTATGAAAAGGACACAGAAATTCTTTAAATTAATTTTTTTCTGCATCACTTATAAATTCTGGGTTGTCTTCAGATTTCTTTGAAATGTCAAACATTGCTCTGAGTGGGGGTGGCATTGATCATAATCACATCTAGTGCCAATTCCTATGAAATGAAGTCAGAATGTGATTGTTTAAAATCAATCAGTTTGGGCATAATATCCAAAGCATCAAGTAAAGCAGAGATATTTGTTGAATATAAGACTCAGATGTAATGAAAGAACAAGTGGTGGTGAAATGTTCATTGGTTCAATATGCAGGCTAGGTGAGGACAGTTCGTAGATCCTTGACACTCAATGAATGTGATGTGTATGAGAAGTGACATGAATGCAACGCCATCAAAAGAACGGCATTCAAAAATGCAACATACATCAGTTGCGTACACAAGATGAAATGCCATGATTACAAAAAAAGATAATTACTTCATCTGCTTCTAAGAAAGTTGGTTCACTATGTCATGACAGACAGTTTTTCTTGTCAGAATCCATCTTGTACATTTATAAATCTACCATTCATCTGTGCAAGGAATACCGCAGCCATATTTGGTCTGGTGCTCCCTATTTGTTATAGTGGAACACACCTCTTCTATTGTTAATAGACTCTCCCACCTATAATAAGTAGGAGTAGTAGAAAATCGCTCAGGGAGTTGGTCAGTCAGTCGAAAAATATCAGCGACCTCCACTAGATTTCTCTGTCATTACCTATTATATCAAGTTCCTAACGTTTTGTACATCGAACCTATTTTAGGACCGACTTAGTACAAATACAAGCCTCCACTGTGAAACCACTCTACAACACTATTATAGATCTCAAGATTCTTGACAAAATTCAAAGAAGGATCTGTTAAGTAATCAATCTCAACTTCAGTCACTCTCCCACTGACATGACAATGGCTCCCCCTTTGTCTTTTCTGCAAATATTTTCATGGCAATTTTTTTTATGAGCTCTCCTCCTTGGTGCCTTGATCGCATGAAGTTAAGTGTGCTACTGAACTGGCAATTAGGTCTCATCATTTTACTATTGAACTAGATAGATGCAGCTGTCTGTTCTAGTTTCTTTTCTCATACTTCTCACCTGTGAAACTCCCTTCAGATTTCTTTCTTTACTGCCACCTACCATATTCAAATTTAAATACAGCACCAATCACCACCTCCTGTCTTCCCAAATTCTTTTATTTTATTGTCCTTTCTCCTCTCTAAAGTATTCTCATTCTCTTGCACTCCCTGTAACCCCTTAGTGGCTTTATACCCTTGTTTGGAGTGAAATTGTCCTTACTTCATAGAAAAGAAAGTAGATTGGTTTCCAATGGCTTCCTCTATGGTTTTGAATTCAGAGTAACCCTTCTCCTAGAGTGACTGCCACTCAAGCCTAGTGAGTCAAGTCTACCCTGCTATTTAACCTATAGCTGGTTGTAAAAGTGTTAGATTCCTTCCTTTTTTGAGAGTATTAGTACCAAAAGTAAATGAAACAGACTAGGGAAGAATTTGAACTCAGCTTGAGGATTCCATTTTTCATGTCAATAACCATTATGGGACACAGATATTCTTTTAATTCCTAATTAATTCTATTTTGCATTTATTGAAAAATGGAAAGTAGCTTGTTATCAACAAAGAAAAGAGTATGCTCCAGCCTTCTTCAGTTGATTGGAATTTCAAACTGAAACCTTTATTTCAAACACACCGGGGTAGATTGTTCTAGTTCCATATGC